ACTTCAACTCTCTAATGTAGTAGTTCAGACTGACAACAAGCTTCTTGCTGATGCTCTGATGATTGTTGAGATGAAGAGTATCTTGGAGAGAAGAAGGTATTCTATTATTCGTATTTACAGAGAAGGCAATTGTGTTGCAGACTTCTTAGCAAAGATGGCGTCAATGGGAGAATTTAAACTTTTTGAAACTTTCAGTTCCCTTCCTAGCTTTGTAAAAGGACTAATGGTTTTAGACCAAAAGTCTTTTCCTTATCTACGAAATGATTCGGAAAGAAACAAAAAAGTTGAGGTGATGTAATAGTGGTGAGACTTAAGCTCTGCCACTTCTTGCTGCACATTAATAATAAAGAATGGGGAGAGGTGGAACTAGGGAACTATATAGTATATATGTTCATCCTTTGGGTATACCCCTTGGGTGCATTATACTGTATGGCACTGGCTAACTCAAAAATTTACCTCTTGGGTATACCCCTTGAGTTTTTCTGAGTTAGTTGGAACCTGAACACCATCCTAACCTTTCCTTTGGGATTAAAAAAAAAAAAGACATAAATGAAATTACTTTATGATTCACATGTCCTAATCTACCATGCCAGAGAAAATAAGAAGACTCAATTGAATAAATAGAAACATCATTCATCCTATTGATACTCAATTTGAACATGCCATTACAAGACTATCCTTTTCCTACAAACATCCCATTCTTTGACAAGAATACATTTACCAGATTGTAGGACCCCATTCAATCCCTTTTTATTGAGGATGTCGGCTAATACAAGTTTCTAAACTATACTACGAACATGATGTACATTAGTTAGGATCAGTTTCTTTCTAGAAATAAATTGCAAATGCACTTCACCTTTACCTTGAACTTGAGCCCTTACACCGTTAGCCATTATGACTTCATGTCCTTCAAGAACAACATAGTTCTTAAATTGATCATTGCCATTACACACATGAATACAAGCCCCAGAATCATACCACCAATCTTTGGAAGAAAGTGGTGTAGCCATGTTCAACTCGGTCACGGTCCCAAGTGAAATAACCACCACAACTGGTGCATTATCTTCAACAAGATTCGTATGTGGGATGTTCTTTCCTTTTTGCTTCTTGTTAGACTTGCAATTGGCCTTATAATAACCCTTTCCACCGCAACTGCAACATTTCTCATCTTTCTTCTTGTCATTAGAATTTTCAGGTTTCTACCTATTATTTTTGTAAGTCACATTTTCAGCCACAAAATTCACTTTAGAATTTTCACTAATTTCCAAATTTTGAAGAAGTCTTGCCCCTTCTTCAATTCGCAAGTGTTTCAAGACACTAGACACATTCAAATTCTCAAAAGTGTGCAACAACTTCTTTTGCTAATCATTCCATGTATGAGGCATTTTGGCAATAATTTCCCCAACTTGCAAAGACTCCGAGATTTCAACACCAATGTCTTTTAGTTTTAACACTATAACATGGAGATTGTGAAAATGATCCATAAGAGGAGAATTAGCAAGCAACTAAAATTCAATATATTTTTTAATGAGAAACTTATTTGCCCCTTGTTTCTTATTAGCATATTCTCTTCGAATGGTAGTCCAAATCTTCCTTGGTCTTTTCACATTTGGGAAGAGATCATACACTGAATCCGAAAGATTGTTGAGGATGTGACCATGACAGCTAATCTCATCCTCTTCACGCTTAGCACGTTTGTTCTTGATCTCATCGGATTCTCCTTTCACAGGCAGGGAATCTCCTCCAAATTTGGGCTTAAAATATAAGCCATCTTCAAGGCTATAAGAAAGAACATCAACTTGTCCTTCCAACGGTTAAAGTTAGTGCCAGATACATCAAGACAATCCAACTTCACAAAATGTTGGTTCATCACTTTCAGAGCGGACTCTTGTATTGACTCCATAGCAAATATTGTCTTAGAATTTAAAGAATAGTAGGAGTACTATCAAAGGAGAAAATTCAAGAGCCACCAAAGAATAAGATGAAGCATGATGAACTTTATTTATAGAAGATTGAATATGACAAGAAAGGGGGAATCACAGATATCTTGATGTACTCTAAGCATGCAGTCACTGTCCTTAAGACAATATTTGCCCCCACTAAGTAGCAAAACCAGGTTTGATTGGCAATTGTTCTCTAGGATATGGAAAACACAAGAACATACAATTTTAAAATTATTGAATGTTCTTTTCAGAATTCAAGAATACAAAAAGATTCACCAAAAACCTGCAGCAGTATAACTATTTATAGGTAATCACTAGGAATTGAAAGAATACGAAATCAAGGCTTATAACCCTTGAGTTCCAAGTGACCAACGTAACCTTCCAAGAATACTTATCATGTTTCGTACTCTTTTAATTCCTTGACACCCATTAATTGGTTTCAGGAGATTGCACCAAGTTTGGTTGCAACTTTTCAATTTTTTATTTTATTTCACAAACTAAGACCCATCAGTCAAAAGCTGGCTGATCTAGTATTGTGGAGGGGGTGTTGCCAAAATATATACCAACACAATTTTCCTTGATCAGGTAAATAATACATTGAAGGAGATGATCTACATCTAGGCTTAAATTTAATTCAAACTGGACCCCTTTTTGACATCTCTACTCCTTCGTGGGTCTATTGGGCCAAGGCTACATTTTATTAGTATTTACGATTGGGTATATCATAACTTTAACAGATCAGATGGCCCATAAAATTGCAATTCGGGTCCTATGACATACCAGTTCATCATTATGGTTAACTAAAACTATTTAGGCAATCAAAGCACCGTCTTCTCCGATTCCTTTGTGGACCTTGCTAATAAGTGCATCTACAAGATCATGGTTCGAAGGTCGGTACAGAGAGGGCAGAGGTAAAAAAAAAAAACAAAGAGACATTCCCAAAAACCTTTCTTTTTAGTTTACGCCTCGATTTTCTTTTTGGAATTTGGTTTTGTTTGAAAGAATTTATGCCTTCTCATAAATAGGAGCGAAAGGAACTTCTTTTTTTTTTTTTTTTGTTGCTTACATTTTACTACTGTTGTGGCAGTTCCTAATAATAGGACTAAAACATAGAGATCAGAGCAAAAAAAAACCTATCTCCGTCTCAAATTATGTTAGTACAAATTTCAAGTGCTAAGTAATTATGTCTTATATTTTCACTAAGATATCTTAGCAAACTAGATATTGATCTTTTTACTATAGTTATTATATGTATACTTGACCTCACTAAAATAGATGGCAAATTAGATAATTGTTCTTTTTATTAAAGTTATCTCTCTTTTTGCTAGACGATTAAGTATCTTGGAAGACTATTAAACTTAGTAAGCAAACCTTCTTTCTCGTGGTTGTGACGCCATTTTCTCAAACTTAAATTGTTTGCTTATATCTGTGGGGTTTCATTCTAATATATCTCTCATTTATGAAGTTTTTAATTTTTAATAAGAAGTTTAAATTTCTATTTCAAAGAAATCCTAGCGGTTATGATTCAACTTCAACACTTTGTTAACCGACTCCTCCTAATATCACTTTGTAAGGATGAGAAAAAAAACCATGATTTGGCATCTCGTATGTCAAATATTTCTAAAACTTTTATTAACGAATTCATGGATAAAATATAAATTGTCAACTCCTCTTTTCGCTCCATATAACGTCAAGAATTCCCACATGTTCATATCAATTTGATTAAAAACTCTTAAACCAGCTTAGTATACTGTTAATGTGTATTATCTGTCTCACATTACCAACGTAAAGAGAAGTGACTCGATTTATAAGGGCCAAATGCCACCCCATTTATTGTTAATTGGTTCTAAAATGGGAGCCCAAAGTACTTATATACTTTGACATGCTATCAAAGCGTGTTGGGCCTGTGGTGGAGTTATGAGCCGGAGGTGGCTTGTGGTGATTTTATGTTAACTCACTTGAGCGTTAATTCGTGGGCTTGTTGTGGACCGATCCAGCAGTATAATTGTCTTTTCTCCCACTTGAACGTTGACTCGTGGGCTTGTTGTGGATCGAATCAGCGATACAATTGGTTTTCTCCCACTTGAGCGTTGACTCCTGGGCTATTCTGTTATTGTCCTGATCCAAGTTTATTGGGCAAAAAGTTCAAAGACCCATTGGATTTCCTCATTCTGTTCTTGTCCTGATCCAAATTCATTGGGCAAAAAGTTCAAAGATCCATTGGATTTGAGGAAGGGTGTTAATGTGTATTATCTGTCCCACATCGCCACCGTAAAGTTCAAAGACCCATTAGACTTGAGGAAGGGTGTTAATATGTATTATCTATTCCACATCGCCACCGTGAAGAAAAGTAACTCAGTTTATAGGTGCCAAAGGCTACCCCACTCATTGTCAATTAGTTTTGAGACATATACAGCTGTAATTGCAATGTGCGAAGTCAGCAAACTAATCACTTTATAAGTGCCAAATGCTACTCAACTCATTGCCAAAGGCTACCTTACTCATTGCCAATTGGTTTTGAGACATATACAGTTGTAACAACAAACTAATCACTTTATAAGTGCCAAAGGCTACTCTATTCATTGCCAAAGACTACCCTACTCATTGTCAATTGGTTTTGAGACATATACAGTTGTAATTGCAATGTGCAAAGTCAGCAAACTATTACAGAATTTTATTACTGAGGTTGTAAAGAAAAAATAAAGAGTTTCAGTTTATCAAGTCGTCGCATTGCTATCAAGCATGACCTTTAAAGACAAGTTATTGAAAAACATGATCTCCAAGAATGAAAGTCCAGGTGGCCTAACATTTGTGCTTTCTCAAACAACAAGTTTATCAAGTTCACTACTATGTTAGGAGTTTAAACTTCAAAAAAGAGCACATGAAGAGTGGAATTTGTTATGATCTGCGGAACCAAGTTCCTCAGTCAAAGTAAGTAAAATTTTGGAACTTCTATTTTTAAGCATCCATTCGTGAAGTTTGGAATTTTGGTGGATGTAGGTAATGATGATAAAGCTACAAGTCATTTCCTACTCATCAATCAAAACGATGTATTGACATAGTATAAATAACCATGGTTGCTCTGTACTCAAGCAAGAGATCGTGCAGTAAATCATCACTGAATTAAACAAGCTGTTAGTTCCAAATTTTGGTTCATTTGGTTTGATCCTACAAGTTTCCTTTCGCAGTAAAAGGCTATTGTAACTAATAAAAGTATGAAACAGCTGATGAGTTCATTGCAACTTTCTATTTTCTTGTCGCAGAATACAGTGAAAGATGGCAACATTGCATTATTCTCAACATCACTAGTACCTCTTAAATCTCCATGCTGAAACAGAGAAAAGAGGGTAATCATGCCAACAAATCATGAAACAGCCATTATCTTCTTTTATCTCGAAGCCATCATAGTTACAACTATGGAGAACTCGCATTGCCTGTCTCATTCCATTGAAGCTTAAATGAACCCTACCAAAACCTGTGAACTCAAGCCTTGGAATCCATTTCTCGAGCTTCTCGTGTCTCGCTTTTCTTTCCAGCCCTTCACATGCTATAATGTTCTTGATCTCTTCCCCGAACAACAGCTTCTCGATCTTTTGGCGCTCGAATGGCGCCCTAGGGAGCGTGTTTTCCAAGCAATCAAAGAGGGCCGCGTAGAATTTTAGTGCTTCATTGACCCTATCCATCAGACTACATCCATTGTGATCCGATTCATGCTCAGTCACCACCATTAGTTTCGGAGAAAGAGACCACAAGCCATTGAGAAAGCTCAAAGTTTTTTGAGATGAAGCCACAGATACAGGGGAGGACGACTGCGAATCAGGACTGCCCCCAAAAAGATTCGTGACATCGCGCTCTAGAAAATCACCTAAAGTTTGCGGATTCATGTGAAACATCTTGGATAAATGAGAAGAGCTCGAATTAGTCCCAACAGATGGCGAGTTCTTCCGGATTATATCATCATCATAAGCCAGCAGTGAATGCAGTTGAAGCACAGAGCTAATTGCAACAGCTTCTCCTGACTTAACTCTTAAACTACCAATGTCAAGATTCTGTAACTTGCTAACAATGGGATTAAACTGAAAAGGGATATCCAATTTCTCAGCAGCTTCATTCAATCTAAAAGCCATCTGATCTAAGACCTCTTTTTGATCATGAATTCCAGTAATTCTTAAATGGGGAGGCCCTTCCCTTCTAACTTTCAGTTCTTGAAGGAGATTAATCCATTGCGCAGGTTCAAAACAATGAAGATCAATAATGTGAACAACCTTTTCCCGTTCCATGGCTTCAAGAATGGCTTGATTTGTGACCACATAAGCTAACCTCAAAAAAGGACAGTACTCAAAGAAGAGTTTTTCTGCAAGAAGTACCTCAGCAGCAGAAGTTATCTTGGTAGAATTGAGTGCTTTATGCAATCCAGGCTTCCAGCCCTTTAGAACCCTGTCAGCCAGAGCCTCAGTGAAATATGCCACAATTCTCTGAACTATGTCGCCGTCCGGCGATGCAAGAAGCGAAATCTGCTCAAGTCCGTTACTGGCATTCTCAAGGCTTCCGGCTGCAACACATCTGGCGCAGGCTATGAGGAAATTGAACAGCCACATGCCCCTTTCATCAGATTTCATTTCTTTTAACAGGGCATAAGGTGAACCCATGTTAGGTGAAAGAGACATCATAGACAAGAAATGGAGTGGTGATGAACCTATAGATTGTGTTCCATCTTCTTGTGCGATTCCTGCCACTAAAGAAATCAAGTACCAATGCATCAGAATGCAGAAAAGTTGACATCTTTTTTCCAGACTCTGTTTCTCTTGCAGAATAAAGATTTCACTCCGTTTCGTTTACTAATTTCACAACTCAAAACCATGTACCAAAAATTACAAATTGAAGAGAAGCAAGTAAATAAGAAATGAACCCAATTGCAATCATGAAGTTCACAGTCTACAGTACATAATCAGAGTTAAAATGAATTCCAAATTAGGCCCGGAACCCAGTAGATTGAGAAAAGAACTCACTTGTGACAAAGACTGGAAATTGGCCAAAGTTTGCTCCTGATCAACAATATAGCGTTAAAATCTCATTAAGAGATTGAGAAAGCTTATGGGAAGGTTCAGGAAGCTGCAGCAAGGAGTCAAAAAAAAAGGAGGGTGATGGAAAACAAATTGGAGCTAGAAAAGACTCAAATCTTTCCTTGTCTTGAAGGACTTTCCCATGGTAGCATTGAATGAATATGACAACTCAAAAAAAAAAAAAAAAAAAAGCATTTTGTCTTGTCCTTATTTTTAGGTTTTGTCTTCAAGATAGACATCCAAAAAACAACAAGGGAATTTCAATTGGAACCATCATCAAAGCAAAATTACAACGCATCCTTATCTTTTTATTGCAAATTCCCTGCATTTTTTTTCTTTTTGTTTGTATCTTTTTCTTACTTTTATTTTTTGGTTTAACGTGGTTAGGAATAAAAAGGGTTGGCCCAAAAATGGCTTATTATTCTTACCAAAACAGAAATCCAAACGAAACACATCCAAAAACCCAGACAACTTTTTATTGTTCTGGGGACAAAACTAGAACATCATCTGGTTGTCGGATAGCTGAATTGTAGTGGGGATTGCTAGGGAGGGGTCTGCCACATGCCTCCAAAATTTCAACCTTGTTTTTGCTTTCTTGTCAACCATGAAAGACCGCAAACTTGGTGTTTTGTTCTTTGGCTAAGAGAAACACGACAAGGGATTGTTTAGCAGTGGCGGAAAAAGACGAAAGTTGTGGTTTAATAGTATAATGGAGATGTTAATGTGTTAATGTTGTTGTTATTGGATTTGGAAGCATGCCATTGGAATTTCCTAGAATTATACCTTCTGATTTGTTTGTTCACTTATTCACCGTGGTGATATTCTCGCATCCCTTCACGTCTTTACAGAAAATGCCACTTTCCCCTTGACACGTTTTTCAATTGGATTTTTACATAGAGTTGGGCACTAGCTCATTGTTGAATGTCATCCTTCCGCATGAAAAAATATTCACTCCCTTCCAGTTAAATAGTTATTTAAGTATTACAATTTGTTATAATAAGATTATTTTTAATACAACTCACAATGTAAATTATTTTTCAAACAATAAAGGAAATAGTTTTAACTCACTAAATAAATAGTTTTTGTGAGATGGAGAAAGTCTGGTTATTCCTTTATTTGGTTTATTATTTTAATGGTTTTTTCGTATTTTATTATTAATAATTATTTAATTTCAACATATCTTTTTACATTTTCAATACACTGTTTTATCTTCTCAATTAAAAAGACAATTAAAAACACACACTAAGAAAATTTAAACATAAATATGAGAGAGTACTTGCAAGTTTAAAATTTGTTTGAAGAATAACTGACACTTTTGTTGAGAGAGTAAGTAACGACAGTAATTTTATGATAGGATCCGCATTTACAAAGGAGCAGAACTTTCAATGTGTTGTGTGCATGAAAGAAACTAAAAAATAAAAATAAAAAATTCTGAGAATACATCTCGTTCTTTCATTAAAAACAGTTAAAGAAAAGATTAATTATCATTTACAATTACATCCAAGTAGAGACATTTCTTCCTGCCATCAAAATCTGGGAGATATTATTCTCTTCTTTCCGTGTTTTTCCTTTGCGAAAAAATTCCTCAATTTTATTGATTAACCAAGACCGCCACTGACAAAACTAGCTCCGAATATTTAAATGTCGAGTACACATATAATTTTTTTTCTTAAAATTTTTAACAAAGTTTAAGGTAATTTTTTTTTTTTTTAAAAAAAGTCAATAACTACTGGATCGGCCGACCACCCTTGCTCCATGGTTCTGTTAAACCGCACAAAGGCAGGCGCATGACATACAAAAAGGATGAACTGTGTCACAAACATAGCAAGAGATTTAAAAAAATACAAAGCGACAAAAGATACTTAGATTTAAACGATAGTCTGCTCGGTTTTATTTCTTTGTTCTAAAATAATTATTTAATTTAAATTTATTTTTTTAAATACATAAATAAATTAAAACAACAATTTAAACTGAACTATCATTAAAAACGGAAATGTTGAATATGGAAAAAAATCACTGAATTCATTCTGGCCAAACCATCTTTACAACATTAGCTTCACGATAGATGTGGATCAATTTATATTTTTTACTCTTAAAATTTTCTTTTTTGAATTTCTTTAAGATCAGGCCTCAAGACATGTCTCCAAGGGGAAACGCTCACCCTTTTTATAACATCCAGTTTTAGCTTGTTATCTGTTTCAACTAACACTCTTTAAATCCCATTTTCTTCACCTTTCTTAAGTCAAAGAAGAAGAATAAAAAAAATCCAAAATATCAGCAGCAAAAAAAAAAAAAAAAATCAATTCATACGAATCCAATAACACCCTCTTTATCGACACTTGTCGTGAACCTTCAAATGAATGATTTTTTTTGCTTTACAATTTACTCTTTCGATTCCTAGTTAATCCTTAATTATTACTATTTGTTATAAAATTACTACTAAACGGGCAATATTAAATGCAACATAAGAATAAGGAAGTAGGATAAGAGGGGGAAAAAAAAGAGATTTCACTTGTATTGAAATGTCTGTGTAAAGCATTAATGAGCTCCCTTTTTATACAAGAAAAAAGGGACAAAACTATGTGAATCAAATCACTCTATCATTAATGATATCATATAATCATATCTCTCATATTATGAAAATAATAATACTTATTAATTATGAAATTCAATCAAATAAAATCAAATATTTCTTAACGCTTTCCCTTTGAATTTCAATTTTCGTGGAACAATGTCTCGTTAAAACCTTACAAGGAAAAACCTTTCGGGAAAAAAATCTCAGTGAAAGAAAAAGTGTACATTTTTTAATATGTCAATGTTGCCTCATTAAAAACCTTTTCATGAAAATCCATTGGAATAAAATCTCTATCAAGGGAAAAAGAGTAAAGTGTTGGTTAGTTCTCTTGTTAAGTACATAACTACGTGGGATTACTCCCTATTGAGTATATCATTTGTGATCTTCTCACCACATGCCAAGATGTTGACCAGGTTCAAAATTGTTGAAGTCAATCAAAAGATTATTTGAATAAACGCACCAGCTTCGCACATAGACGATCAACTTCACATACCATGTGTAATCTTGAGTGGTTTGGAATAACAAAGATCCAAAACCATCGTACTTCGAAGATATCAATATACAATATTCCAATGTCTTGACTAATTAATTAGATAAACTGATACTTTATATGGTACTTCAGGACCAAAGCGGTTTACATCCTTAATTGAAAACCATGAAAAGGATCTTTATGCACGTCAATATCTTAATCAAGTGTGTTCAATAGGTGTCAATGTATACATACCAAGGCCAAATTACTTAGACCGAGATTCTACTCAAAATATTTCGTTATTCTTACTTCAAATAAGTAGCAACCTTTTGATCCTCCTTTGAAGTGTTAATAACTATGTAAACTCTTCAGGAGTTTTAGGATATTTAAACTTCAAACTCCATAAGAAGTTTCGGTAAATTTTCAGTGTTTTCAAACTCTACAATAGTTTTTTATTAACCTATAAACACGTATGTGGTAATTGAAAACTCACATCCAAATAGTTTATCACGTGAATATGATCATATAATCTCACATAAAATCACATATATTCACGTGATAGACAATTAACATATGCGGATAAAACAAACAGAGAAATGGGTGCATAAACATTAATATTTATAATGTTAAAAAAATTTTCACCTACATTTGCCTAGACACATGAAGACATTAGAACTTTTGCAAGTCTTTCGAACAAATTTCAAATCAGAACCATATTCCTTCTTGAATCCTTCTTTGCTATCCTTCTGTCGTGATATGCTTTGGTCCTCTCCTTGTATAGTCTGGATGAGTCATATGCATTTCTTCTGAATTCCTCCATTTCATTCAATTGTAACAATCTTCTGCTCAGTACTGCCTCTGTTTCATATGAGTGCTTTAATAGCCCAGAAAGCCTTGTGTTCCAGCTCGACAGGTAAGTGACAAGCCTTTCCATAGACGATTTTGAAGGGAGACATGCCTATGGGTGTCTTGTATGCTGTCCTATAGGCCCATAGAGCGTCATCAAGCCTGAATGAGCAATCCCTTCTTGTACTGTACACCACCTTCTCCAATATACGCTTAATTTCTCTGTTGGATACTTCAGCCTGACCATTCATTTGAGGGTGATATGCGGTGGACACTCTATGATGAATAACAAACTTCTGGACTAGCGTAGAGAAGTGTTTATTGCAGAAAAGCGATCCTTCTCGTCACTGACATTGACTCTAGGAGTTCCAAATCTAGCGAAGACTTCTTTAAGAACTTGATCACTGTTTTGGAATCGCTAGATTTGACTGCTGCCGCTTCTACCCATTCGGACACATAGTCAACTGCCAGAATAATACATGTGTTATTGTTCGATGGGACAAATGGACCCATGAAGTCGATTCCCCAGACATCGAACAATTCCACTTCTAGCATCATTTGTTGAGGCAGTTCGTTTCTCCAAGACAAATTTCCTAATCTCTGGCATTTATCACAACACTTAACAAACTTATGAGTGTCAGCAAACAGAGTAGGCATGAAGAAACCTGATTGTAGGATCTTAGTAGCAGTCCTTTGCCCACTGAAGTGACCTCCATAGGGGGATGAATGAAATTTTTCCATTCTGCTGGTATGCATCTCCTAATCAATTGATCCGCACAGAGTTTAAACAAATAGGGTTCCTCCCAGTAATAGGATTTAGCCTCATGAAGGAACCTTTTTGTTTGCTGCTTGGTCAAATCTACAGGAACAATGTTGCCAAAAATATAATTAGCAAAATCAGTGTACCAGGACCTGTTGTCTGTTACTTGGGCAAGTTTCACCTCTACTCCCCAGAGTTGCTCGTCTGGGAACTTCTCTTGGATCAGCTCTGAGTCTTCTTGCATCCCTTCCAGTCTTGATAGATGGTCTGTCACCTGGTTTAGAGTCCCTTTCCTGTCCTTGATTTCCAAATCGAACTCTTGTAGGAACAATATCCATCGAATAAGCCTTGGTTTTTAATCCTTCTTTGTGACCAAGTACTTGATTGCAGCATGTTCAGTGTATACTACCACTTTCATTCCAAGCATGTATGACCTGAATTTATCAAAAGCAAAGACAATGGCCAACATTTCCTTCTCGGTGGTAGAATAATTTACCCGGGCTGGATTTAATGT